CTCCAGCAGATCAACACTCCCACCCAACTGGATTTAACTCCATTGACCATGACTCTCCAAGCTCGGCGATCCAGCCAGTTCTTTACCCACTGAAGAGTGAACCTGTCTAAGCCATGAGTTGCCAGTTTCTCCAGGAGAATGCTGTGGGAGACAGTAACTGCTGGGACTGCTTCTTAGATTTGCCAGCATTTTCTTATGTTGCTATGCCAGTGTAATATAATTAGCATGTTTTACTCAGTTCTTTAAGAATCAAAACTAAAATGCTAATGTACTGAAAAGACATATGTTTAGATGGGTTTAACGCTGTGTACAACATCGTACAGTTTTTATAGTGAAAAATGTCTGAAAAGCGAAAATTAATGCTTTTAAAGACTTACAGCTCTTTGATATTTTGTACTTTATTTTCTCTCATCCTACAAGGTTGACTGATCTTTAATATAGCATGAAATAACAGGATAAAGTCAGTGATTATTTACCTAGCCAACGGAATCCACAAGTGGCCTGAAAATGTAGACATTGAACTGAAAATCTTGATATTGCTAATCTTGACAGGCTTTGTATTATAAGCATAAAGCAGCAAAACCTGTAAAAGAGATGGAATACCTAAGTTATAATGCAGTACGGTATAGCTGACCTGAGCTATTTCAGTGATACTACATTATAGTAACTATCAAATACAATGTACTGATGAAGCCTTAGATAAGTGACTTTTGGAAAAGAGGAGGAGTGTGGCCTCATATGAATTTGTACTGCACTCAATTTTTATAGGTGTTAAAGCAATTTAATTATGGATATAATTTATACAGGTTTGAAAATTAACTATACCCTACAGAGTTACCATCAAAATCCCAGTCTTGTCCTGATCCTGGTCAATCAATCCCACTTATGTCCAATGTTCCAAGTTCAGATAGGCTGAATAGAGAGCTTTTACTGAATTTCCAAAGGCCCTATGTAATTAGTTCCATTTGCTATATGGCCTTGTGCATAGCTGTCTTCATACTAGTTTTAAATCTAGGAAGCGCACATAACTCACCAATCTAATAAACCTGTATCAATATAAGAGCACAAGAAAGTGTAATAGAATATTCTCGCCTTTCACTGAGTTAATTTGCTACTATGATTGAAAATATGCTTCCTGGTGGTAGCTGAATTTTTTGACTCTATGGAAAATGTAAATAAAATGGCATTTATATATTAGTTGTGTTCAAAAGTTGTCTTTGAATCTCTACTGATCTGTAAAGTCATGCTAAAGTAACCTGCAAAACTGTATTGAAAAGTACATTATTTGCACTAACTTCACAGGGCTTCTACCAGCTTATTAATAGAGCTGAAAAGGGTTTAGTAGAAATTTTGACAGTGATCTGTTATGCCAAAAACTTCGGAGATCATGGATTTCCATAACAGTAGAGAAATTTTACCTACGTGCTCTTCCCTTGTTTAAAAATAAAACGAATTCCATGTCCTAGCCTCTTGCTTTCCTGCAACCCTCCAGTCTCTCTCATCTTTCATGTTTAGTCTGATTTCTTAGGCGAAATGAGGTTTACAAAATCCCATTTTCCCTCTATATGTGTATCTTTGCTTTTCTGACAGCCTCCCACCAAACAGTATTGTTTGAATGCATTGGTCAGGTCTAACCAAGCAGAGTGAAGATCTTAAAGACATCAAGGACCTGCAAAAGGCATGAATACAACATGGCTTGGAAGCTCTATATGGTCAACAAAGTCTTTCTTTGGCCTGCCACCAAAAAACTGTCAGGGCATTCCATTTGTCCTGCACAGCAGGTTTGTGGCAGAGTAAATATATAGCTCCCTGCTGTCCAGTTTGCCAATTGGCATATGTATAATTCAATTAAAAAGCCAGTTAGTCACAGCACAAATATTCATTGGAAATGAGACTTCATTTGCTCCAATACTTAAGGAACTGCTTTGGCGTCGTTATACCTCAGTCTCTATAGAGTTTGATGGCTTTGCCAGAGAAGGAATGTACCACTGAATGTTCATTTCCTTATCTGAAGCATTTGCTGTCCTAGTCTCTGTCTGACTGTCTGTTTCTGCGATGACAGAAACCGGAGAAGCTATTCTCATACGTGACACCTTTGATGTAATTCCAGTAATTTCAAGAGACATCTGAAACACAGAAGAAAATTTTAAATTGTATTTTTTCTAGTGTAACATGCAAAATGTGTTATAATCTAGTGTCTACTAGAATCGGTATGACTTTCACTCCTGAACAAATATGTGCTTATTTAGATAAATGGGTAACTTTAAAAGGTGTCCATTTTACCAAGTTAAGTCTTTTCAAAGTTCACATGATGAGACATTTCTAAAGGTAATGCAAAGGACCTCTGGGATGACTTAGCGACAACTACAGTAACAATGATTGTTACATTTGGCTTATCTTCCTGCCATAGCATTACGGTTTTTGTTAGAAGATATTATTTGATGTGCTGACCATACAAAATTTAGTGCTGAAAAAGTAATTTTTCTGCTATAAATATCAATTAATTAAAATAGTAATCTGAATGCTAGACTAATGCTTTATAGCTGAAAAAAAAACTTCAAGTCAAAAATAGAACTACAAAGACACATGTAAGCGAAACTACCTTGTACATAAAAATCATTCCTTCAAAAATTATGTCTATTTGTACTGCTAAAAATCCCAGCATCAAATTACAGTAACATTTTTTAAAATAACTTATACAGCCTTCTGAATAGTTAAAGCTTCTAAAAATGTTGTGATAAAAATCAATGAGGCTTAGAATTAAAAAAAGTACGAAAGAGCTTTATGCTTGTTAGCTGTCTACAACAGTGAAGCTAACACATGATTATGCAGCTTGCACCTGTCACGAACATGACAGTGAGCTCTGAAGCTTATTATTCTAGGACAGTGTAATACTAATTATGTCAAAAGAAGAGCAGACAGAGTAAAATAATTTTTGATATACGATGGCTGTTATAAATGTCACATAGCATATATTTACAATTTATTCAGTGGCACAGTCAGCTCTTTGTTGGGAAATGAGTAATGATAAGCTGTCCAACACTGCAGAAAGTTCACCAACTCTAGAAGAGCTACTTTTACAAAAGTATTTTAATTCATTTTTATACAATAACAAATTCTCATTCCTCAAGGCTCCCCTGTTTCCATCTAATGCTGAACATAATAGGTAAAAAATAAACCATAGAGAGTAACCCGTCATTTTATTTTTTTAGTATTAGGATAATTATTAATGCAAGAAACGGGATGGAGAAACTTTGAAGACAATTATTTTTACATTGAATCTTCAAAGACTTTTCCTACGCAATATTCAATACATATGCATGGTCAGCATAGACTCCAGAATTCCAATTCAAGATTTCTCTGAAGTAATATAGTCTGAACTACCTACATGTGAAAGCTCAAACAGGCTGTTCGCAAGCCAGAGATCTGAAAAGTTTGACTTTCTAGCCAGCTGATAATCAGTGAAAAAAACTGGCACACAAGGCCCTCAACAAATTTTGAGAAAATATAAATTATATATTTTTTTAAATCATGTTTTTATTATAGACCAAATTAACAATATAGAGGCTTGTACATACAAACTACAAAGCAAACAACAGGACATTTTTGGTATGAAACATGGAGATCTACAAGATTAAAAGCCTCAGTCCTACCAAATAACACAGACAACTCATGATGAAATCAAATAACACAGACAACTCATGATGAAATCTTAAATGTCACTCTGCTTAATCTTCTAGGGTCTAAATACACTGGGCATGGGCTAGAGATCATTTTTGCAGGAATTAATAATACAAGGATATTTGCATTTGTTAACTATGTCCTTCACTGCTTGCTTGATTTTGGTTTTGCACTGATCCTCTGCATAATGAATTTCATTCTTCTATAGTGCTCAGAAATATCACCACTGGAACTAGCAGGAACCTGAGTGAAATGCACATATAGTACATATTTTTGAAACATCAGAAATAAAATAAGTACCTTTGAAGAATCAGCTGGCCTACCAAGTGGCAATTCTACATCACGTAGCTCTTCTGGGTAATTCTCAAGACAACACATTGAATATTCAAACAAATGTTTTTTAAGAAAGGAATGCATTTCTGCTATGCGTAGAACAATCCCTCTATCAAAAACAGAACTAAATTGTCCATGTCTTGCAGAAAATGACCCGGGTCCTGAGTTAGGGACAGCTTTGAAAAGAGATTTTTATTACATCATCATTTGCCATTAAAAAGTAAAGTTTCTACAGCTACTTAATATTTATAACTTTTGAAAATATAGTAAAATATGTAAATTGATTCAATATCCAATAAATGCATTTCCAACAATTATACTGATTGTCCTTAAATATTACTAGGTTATGCTATTTGTACTGCAGTTTGTAACTGGAGATCTGGAAATGAAACAAGCTCTGTCTAGACATTATAAAAGTAGCATAAAATGGGAGGTGCAGTTCTGAGGTTTAGGTATTGCTACTTGAATTTAGATGTGTAAGCATCAGTAAGTTCACTAGATGTCTAAGCACCCACTAGAATAAACATTTACTCAATAGAGTCAAAAGAAGCTCTAAGAGCTCTTAAGACTCTAATTTAGACAGCTAATGGCTGATCAGCTAAGTTGCTCCGTAAGCTTCATCCTTGTTAGCTACAGCTGAGATGTACATGCACATTTTGACACCTACTTGTAGATACCTCACCGTCCTTATAGTTCTGTGGTGAGGTAAAATACTTTCCTTTCACTTGGTGCTGTAAGAAAAAACCCCAACCCTCTCTGAAATTATTACTTTCAGAGTTGCTAGGTTTCTCTCTAGGCAGCACCTATATGTACAAACTAGTTCTGTTCTCACCTATCAGGCTGTCACTTGTATATCCAGCAGCTGGCCATCAGATGTAGATGCATAATATTAGGGCCCTGAAATTAATGGATTCTTACTCTATTTGAAAGGTCTTCTCTATTACCATCTTCTGTTTACAACGGAATTAATCAAGTAGGTCAAAACACATCCAATAATGCTCAGCCTTCCCATTTACACTACACTCAATTCTCACAAACAGGTCCCCAAACTGAACAGATTTATTTCTGATGTGACTTAAGTCTGATGTATCTAGAACTAAAATCAAATATAGATTATGAATTCTTAAAAAATGCTTCAGATATAGTAATAGCAATTACAATCTGAGGGGTGCTTTTCCTGGTATCATGAAAGCTTATGAATAATTATGAAAAAAGGTAATAATATCTTCCCTTACAGCACTTGTAAACTGACATAAATCTTGATTTTCGTGGAGGTTTTTTCACATTTATACTATTTAAAGGAGCTCTAAATTAAACTATCTCAGATGATGGCCTTAGAATCTGACACTGTTGGCACCCAAGAACAGTATCTCACCCATGGCAGTTTTCTAGAAGGAAGAAAAAATTCATACCAAATAGAAGGTCTGTGTTACAAAGTCTTTTTAAATAACTGTGGTAACGAATTAAGTGAACCCATGTTATTGTCTCTTTCTTCTGGCTGGCCTTGGTGGCAAGACCTTCTGTTCCTTCACTTTGGCTCTGCTTGTCTTGTATGATTTGTTTCTTTTCAGTAGAAGATGCTGTGGGACCTTCAGAGACAACATTGTATCCATCTGCAAATCCAATAACAGCTCAATGATACACATTAAGTGAATGGTTGCAATTCAAAAGCTATTTCTGCATTGTGTTGGAATTGGTTAATGTGCAACTAAAAATGTAACTTGTGAACCTGGTTATGTTTTTCATAAGAGGACAATTCTTTCTATTGTGCTTTAATATTAGTTGAACTAGTAAGGAAATTATTTCTCACATCATGGCCAGGAATCTGACTGCTCCCTCTCTGAATTTAAATCTAAAACCATTCTTTCTATACATTGTTCAAGAGCAGGTATTTACTAAATGGAAACAATACTACGAGTCATCAGTCCTAACTGCAGCAGTTGAACTTCCCAGTTATATCAACCTGAACTCAGAAGAGTTAGGTATTCCGAAATGTCTACTGTAGCTTCAATCCAGTCCCTTTTAGATATTGAGCACGTTAGCAATGAAATGTGTTCTCGACTATGAACTAAAAATATCTCTTTTTTGGTGCTGCCTAAAAGTTATACTTATGCAAAAAGAGGGGGAAAAAAAATCAGTGCAGTTATCACTATATCACTGCTTATATTCTTTTTTTTTTTTTTACTGTATTAGTACCTGGCTCTCTCAAAAGCCTACACAATTCTTCTGCTCTTTTTCTCATTCCAAACTGAACAAACATTACATTACAGTAATTCCTAATAGTAAACTTCCAGAAAATAATTATGTGTGCTTCTACAAAATCGGAATGTCTCCATTATTCCTGATATTTCACTATCAATTGTAAAAACAGAATTTAGTTAAAATGGCCACATTATTTATAGATGAAACTTAAACAATGTGTTTCACTAATGGTTTTATAGAAAATATTTAGCACGCTGTGCTGATCATTTCTATTTCAATTTACCTTTATATATTTTGGCCTAATATTGCTTTTCTACGTTTTCTATTCTTCTTTGTATTGCCTAACAGAACTATCAGGAGAAACACCTGCTGCATTTGCTAAAAGAAAAACTGATCTGTAATTATAAGCAAATGGAGCTAGTACAAAACAATCAGATTGATGGAAGGTCTTAGCATACAACACTTGTTTTCATAAACCAATCAAAACACATATGTTTAAACACTGTACAGCAAGTAGACGTTGCTCAGCTTTGCCAGCAACTATCAGGCAGAGCAATTCAATCCTTGTCAGTCATTTGGTATGATCGAAATTAAGCCACTGAACCAAAACTTTACCACTAAATTAATGGTTCCCAGTTTAAAAATAAATACAGATATTTTGCATTAGTGTTTATATAACATCTGGCAACCATTATCCCAGAATTCCTGGTTTCACTGCTTTTTTTTAAATCAAAAAATTCCCTTTCGTCAACCCCATTAGCTGTAAAATAAATGCAGAAGCTGGAAATAATCCAGGGAAAGGCAAAGTTCTACCATGCTAACGGAAGCATCTCTAAATGATAATCCATTGGACTGGAAAGACAGTGAAAACGTTTTTATTATACTGACTTTGACTTTTAGAATACGGTACCCAGGCAGATAACTTTGCAAGAGTTTGGGTTTGGTGATTCTTCTTTGGGGGGGAAAGGGAGCAGGCAGGGAGAGACAAGCTATTCAACACTAACATGTCTTTGCAAAAATAAAAAGAAAACCTGAAAATTTCCAAGGAAAAGCTAATTTACCTAGGGAAAAAATCTATTCTAAATCAGCGTTTGAAAAAACAAGCAGTGATGACTGATAGCGGGGCCAAGACCTACTCTACAAGTCTCGGGAATTTTTCTTAACCTATTGAACACATGCACAGGCTGATATTTAAAGGCTCATTAGGTCTACTCAATATTTTGTACTGCTATGCAGGACAAGGATTTTGCTTTTCCTTTCCAAATTTGACTTATAATTTTTCATAAATGAAAATGTGATATTAGATGTATTACTAGATTACATGGCATATATAGGGGGGGTTTTCATGTTTTAATATTACTAGGTATAAAAGAATACCAGATAAGAAATCTCTGTATGAAGCAAAAAGATCCATGGAAGCAAATTCTGGGATCTTCTGTTGCACTGCATCCTTCATGCTGCGTTCTTTAACACTCTTCATTCCAATTAATAGCTGAGAAGCAAGCACAGCTTCACTGACCTAAAAATAATATTTATTTTATTCAGAACCAGTTCACCACAATATTTATACAGACTTTTAAATCTGAGAGTAGCAAGATGATGACAAAAAATTAATTACTCAACATACTATATTTTTGAAAAGCCAGGACAATATTCTATTTCTCTCTGACATATGGTACATACTATATTTAAATAACTCATTATTATTGACAGGTTAATTACTACATAAGAGATTTCAAATCAGATATCCTCACCTGGATGCCACTGATGCCTACCCACATGTCAAATACATGTGCACACATATCAGGCAGTGTGCTGTTTTATTTGCACTGAATCGAAGTTGAGGTAAACAGAGACAGATCTGTCCAAGACAGATTAAATTCACTACTCAGACAGTGTTTAATTTCCTCAAATAAGACCCATGCCAGAAACTTCAGGAAACTTTAATTCTTGTCTTGTTTGCGTTGTCTTGTTTGCTTGTGTAAGTAGCATAAGATGAAATGAAAAAAAAAACCAAAAAAATTACCTCTTCAGAATATTGCACCAACCTGTGTAGCTGCTCTTACTGCAATCCAGGCTTGTACTTTGTAGCCTTCTGATTTCAGAGCCTCCTCAGGAGAAGAAGAGAGTTCTCCAGAAGAGGTCTAAAATTATATACCAGTTCATAATTAGGATTCTAAATGTATTATGGTAAAATTTATTTTAAAGATAGAAAGAAGTCCTCCTACTTACAGAATTATTGTTTTATTTGCAAGTTGTAATAATCAGCATTGATTGTAAATCCATGGATTAATTGCTAAAATTGAAAAAAATTATCCAGAGCATACTAATTGTATGCTCCTGTAAAAAATTTCTCAGAGCAGCTCATACTATGGTCAAAATTGTAGACAGTTTTGCTATCATTTTCCATTTTCTGGAATTGTAATTACCTCTTTTCTCTTATGTTACACATTATGCTTTGAATCTATGGCTTGTAGCCACTTTAACATGGCTAAATCCTTTTATATTTCTCATGCTGTCATCCATATTTGCACTGAAAAATTGAAATCTGGTGAAGTATAAATATTACCAGTTAAAAACCAGGTTTGAATATTATGTTTTCTTTACAAAGTACCAATTAATTAGTACATAATCAGAAACAAAAGCACTGTTGGTTCTGTTTATTCCTATTTTATACTGAAAAATATTTTAAATGTTATCATTCAATGCAAGAAACATGAGAAATAACATCAAACAAGATAAAATTCTACTTCTACACTCTATGATTTCTTTGTGTGATTTTTCTAGTAGAAGTTTCAGCATCAGTATGATTTATAAATCACTGTAAGTAATAGTCTGGCAAGGTGCACAACATTCTAAGAAATATATTTCCTGCTTTGAAGAGGACACTGTCCAAAAGATAGAAAACATACATTTGACTTGGAAGGCACCATCTTATCTGTCTGTGACACATCCTCATTATTTGTGGCAAAATGCAAATATAATAGTGCTATTTCAAGGTATGATTTTCTTATTAACCTGTAAGATACAACACACAGATCAATTAATGTTACTATCAAAGTAAGCATTACAATGATACAACCTGACTCCTGCATAAGTATATCTTCTTTCAGAAAACCATGTGATCCTGTTTTAAAGTCTTAGTGAATCTAAACCATACTATGGTATGCTTAACAAATAACACATTGATTTAAGAGTATGTATATAATTTGTATTCTGTGCAACAAATATTCCATAAATAAATTCCAAACATTTTAGTAAGAAAACTGTAATACTGCAAGGGAAGTGATCTTTCTGTACAGAATCTGTATGGGTTCCTCTTCCTTCCTCAAGTTACGGCATATATCCATTGCCCATCCTGAAACATGGCTGTCAGAATTTGGATACGGGTCTTCAGTCAAATTCTTCCAAGAATCAGCAAAAATACCCGCAGTGACCAAAATAGTCTTTCATTTCTTCACAGGGCTCAGCTGAGGAGCCTTCTCAGTTCTGAGTTCTATACCAGAATACTCTACATCTTCAGACACACTGTGCTCATGAATTCCTGTTCTCCTGTACATCCTTCTCTTTTCAGTTATTTTTACAGTAGTCTTATAAGCCAGGCAAAAATCATAGAATGGTTTGGGTTGGAAGGGACCTTTAAAGGCCATCTAGTCCAACTCCCTGCAGTGAGCAGGGACATCTTCAACTAGCTCAGGTTCCTCAGAGTCCCAACCAACCTGACCTTGAATGAGGGATGGGGCATCTACCATCTCTCTGGGCAACCTGTGACAGTGTTTCACCACCCTCATTGGGAAAAATTTCTTCCTTATATATAGTCTAAATCTTCCCTCTTTAGCTGAAGAACACTACCCCTTGTCCTACCACTACAAGCCCTGCTAAAAAGTCTGTCCCCATCTTTCTTATAAGTCCCGTTTAAGTACTGAAAGGCTGCAGTAAGGTCTCCCTCGAGCCTTTTCTTCTCCAGGCTGAACAACCCCAACTCTCTCAGCCTGTCCTCAAAGGAGAGGTGTTCCATTCCTCTGATCATTTTTGTGGCCCTCCTCCAACATGTCTTTCCTGTATTGAGGATTCCAGAGCTGCATGCAGTACTCTAGGTGAGGTCTCACCAGAGAGGAGTAGAGGGGCAGAATTACTTCCCGCAACCTGCTGAAGATCACTGTATCTGGAGAACTTCTGCAACATTTCTATTCCCTATAGGTTTGTAACAGTCATTTTATGCAGGTTCCTCCTGGCTCTGTAGATCTCTCCAGATCTCCCCTATGAATTAGTTTTCCTAAGCATAGCAACAAACTCCTGCTCATGCAGTTACTGTTCTGGACAGAGTCATATTGCACAGAGTTGGCTGTTTATATAGTACCATAAATTCCAGCTTTGGTATCATTTGTGTAAAGCAAAATACAAAAGTGAGCGTGCTGTACAGTTCATGATAGGGCAAACTAAGTGGGAAGGTGGCAAGTTCTACACTTAGTTGGTGAAAGTTCAGTTAACTTTCTAGTCTTGCTAACAAAAAAGAATTTGAGACATCAAGAAACAACTTTAATTAAACAACAGATACCAGAGCACTTGTATAAAGGTGATCGGGATGTTTAATTTTCTAACATAAGAAAGCCAAGGTCCATCAATGTTGGTGTACATTCTTTTAGAAAGATGGCAGGAAATTAAATAAGAGTATAGCAAATTAAACTTGCAAAACATCACCACAGTCCATTTCTGTACCATCTTCCATCATGCTGAATGCTTGTAGAGGTTTATTACTATGCTACTGCTTCTGTGTTCAGAGTTCTGGTTCATTAACTTAAGTAACAGAATACCCAGACAAGCAAGGTAAATTGCTGCCTTTACACTGTCTGTAACCAGACATGGCACATTATTCATTAAAACTGGTCAAGAAACTAAAAAAACCTAAAGTCCAATGTATCAGAGCTGCTTGACAGAATTTATTGGCTGGCTTGGCTCAGCTCTTCAGGCATCTTCTATGCTGATAACTAACGACAAAGTCACTGTCCTGATATCTGTTACAAACACATTTTCTATGCTCTTTCTGCCTCTGTTCTTCTTACTGTTTCTGGCTGCTAACCTTTTCAAGCCAGATTTCTATTATCTGGAAGGGGGCAGACCACAGCTCATCTTCTGAAATATGAATAAAACCCCTATTTAATTGATAGCTCTGTTCCTGGTGTTGACAGAAAACGTACAAATTTGAAAATGAAACAGAAAGCTGTAACCTTGTATACTCTAAAATATGCTTTTAAATGTTCTCAGCATTTGTTTTAAATAAGAGAATAAATATACAGTAGCTCTTTTATGCTGCAATAGAAGAAAACTCTCCAAAACATAAAAGATGCTTCATAATAGAAGTCCCACACCAAATCTCAGAAAACTGTTCAAAAAACTATATTCATGTGTGATTAAAATTATTTTGAAAGTTATATAGCTAGTTTCTTACTCAAATTTTTGGTCAAGTTGCTGGCTGAGTTTTATAGCTTCCAACAGGGTTTCAACAGCTTTAGATGACTTGTTATTGCCTGCTTCAGTTATCTGGCGTTCTACCTTACCTAATAAAGAAATATAGAAAGCAGATTTGCAAGATTATTTTTTTTTTTTCTGTAAGATACAACGTGTTTTTCCCTCCAGGAAAGTTGAACAACATAGTGCATTATCTATTCTCTTCCTGGTGAGAGAAATCTTTTCCAGTTTGTTTAAAAGGTAATGCACAATGCTTGTATAGCAAATTACTTCACAGAGTAGCTAAAATAATCAAACTTTGGAATCATAATGAATCCTAAGATGCAGTGATCCTAACTAGAAGACCATTGTACATGGAGGAGTTAATGCACAGGGGCAAGGCCTGTTCTGTGCTGCGCTATGCTGCACATACAGTGTGGCCTTCAAGACTGTGTTGTGCTGTGCGCATCCCTTAGCCACAGGATAAATACAGCCAGCTAGCTGTAACAGAAGAACCTGTTGGCAGCATCTTCTCAGTACCAGTGATTACACCACCTGCCCTTTCTATAAAAGTGCAGCGAGAAGTTCTGGTGTGAATATGCTTTTTGTTTGACAGTAGAAATGATGAATAGAATTGTGTTCTTTTAAGAAAATACTCTAAATACTCCACCAAAATGAGGCAACCTTTCCACAGACAGAATCTGTGTGTTGTGCTATACCCTGACTGGAAGTCCATTCAATAGCGCACAACTTGGAGTTCTCAGCATCTGAAGGGACATAATATTTACACTATCTTCTTTTTCTTTATAGTGTTAACTTCAATAAATGGTATTTTAAGAGATACTTTACAAAGTCTGAGTAACATTCTGGCCGGGATCCTAACAAACCAACACCTCCTGGTGCAAAACATAATGCCACTAAAATCCAAATGAATGCAAACACTGTGTAATTTGTTAGCTTTGTTAAATCATTTAGAAGTACTTTCTGAGCCTCTGATCTTTAGTTCAGACTGATGCAAAGAAGCTAATGAGCTTTCTACAGTGTCCTTAATCTCATTAGCTACAACCTTTGATCTCTGATAACATAGAGGTGGGAAAAGTTCTACTGCAGTTTTGAAATAATTTGTTGCGTAGCGCACCCTGAACTATGCTGGTGTGATACTAAACACAGGAGACAGACCTGCAGCTAGACAGCGTGAGAAATAACCAAATCTGTTCTATTTTTACAGTAAAATGCCTCAATTTTAAGAGAGATCAGATGCATAACATTGCCTAGGAAGGTAATCATGATGTACAAACAGCGTTTTATTTACCTATCTGAAAAAGAAGTTCTGCTTCCATATCTAATTTTTTTGTTGCAGATGCTCTGCAAAGCTTCAGTGCTGATTCTAAATGTTGGAGAGCATGTAGCCATTGCATTGGATCTCCTCTTTCAGGTGTACAAGCTACTTTTTCAGCTAATGTGTGTCCTAAGGAAAAAAAACAACAAACAGTTCTTAGTAAATTATCTAATAGAAAACCAATTTATACAAAAAGAAGCAACTTCCTTAGAACAAATGCTGTTATGTATTTACTGTTACAATCCAATTCTCAAAAAATCAGAGTGATTAATAGATATAAATACAGAACTATAATGTTGTTATAATGTTGTTTCACAACTTTATGATACCATTGAGGTTTACCTCGGCCATGCAAAAGAAGCTCAGGCTATATAAATCAACCCTTTCACAAACTACCTGGAAAGACTAGCAGTAAGCCACTTCATAACTTTTTTTCACCTGGCAGTTGTAGGCAAAACCTAATCCTGTCTGAGCATTTCCAAATTCCCAAATTCTTTTGTGTATTAACTGTACTAACCAGTTCTAAAGGCTTCTTTGATGTATTGCTTACCTCTTACACTCTACTCCCCAATATTCATCTGTATTCATAGGTTCTTCATAAAAATGTGGATTCAGAAACAGGAACTGGTCAAACATGGCCATGACTATGAGTGAGTCTGGCCATGCCTGCACTGACAAGCAGTAAAGCACAGTAACAGTGTGTCTCTAGAGCAAACCAGCCAGTGTTGACCTGACAGCCACAGCAGATGCATTTCAGTGTTTACTTTGTACTACCTCTATTCTAGTCTTAAGGGTTGAATACAAAGTAGTGGTTGGGGGGCACTGATGTGTTCCTGGGGCATAACTTCCTGAAAAATAACCCAAAACACTCTGAGGCTGCTCCACAATAAGAACCAAAGTGCAGCAAATGATTTCTAGATTTTCCAGTCCATTATAAGTCAGATATACACCAAATAAAGTTTAGCAGAAGGAACGTGGAGACAATATCCCTTTCCCTATATTTGCTATACAGCAACAAATCTCAGACAGATCTTAAAGGTCATCTTCTGTTACTATTCAGCATATTTCCAAGTTTCTAAATAAAGAAAAGTATTCTGAAAAAGTTGTCAAATTAAAGGGTGACAACAGAAACAGACACTTTATTTTATTGGGATAAAGAATTATCATTATTATGCCATATGATTTGATATCATTAGTTAGTTCCCATATAACTGCTTCCAGAGAGATGGAACATATACAGGAAGTTTTCACAGAATTAATGCTTTGTACAGAAGTTGGAAAAGTGTTGTTAACTTCCACTTAAAAGAACTGAAGTTCACATTAGTTTCATCAAGCTATAACATTAATATTTAAGCCTTTGTTGATTATAGTTCCCATACGATTGCACCTTGCTTATACACATTGCATGGAGCCAAACAGGCGTATACTATTGGTTTTCAAAATATTTAATCTGTATATGAAAACAATCAATTTACTACGTTCACTTCTGATGCATCAGTTTATTTGCTGTTGCATAAAATATGAAAATGAATGAAAAATTAAAAATAGTAATTACTTGCATTTTTCTTACCGATTCTCATTTTGACTTGGGCTAGCAAGTTGATATGTGGTAAATAGATATTTTTTGTAGGTAGGACCAGGCAAGTCAATGTACTGTCTTCCAGTTGCCATTCAATGGGTTCCCCACAAACAAAAATCTAAGAAAAGAGTATGCTTTGTAAAATCAAGTTGCAGACAGCAAATTAAATAGTAGTTTGAAAAACTAAGGTATTGCAAAGCCCTGGAACTCAAATGTGTCTTGTAAAAGAGCACTAGAAAAGGGCTTGATACTCCTGAACTCCTTTACTTCAGTTTGTGGTTGTCTTCTTTGCAGAGGAGTTTGGTAGCAAATGAACAATTTCAATGAACTTTTGTTCAAATCTATTAATGTTAGGCTTTGGTTTCTAAAAGCAAACTCCCTCAAATCAGTCTTTAAGAAACAGATCCCCCAAGTAACCCAAGCCCTAGAAAGAAACTGTCATTTCTACAAAGAAATCTGACAATCAACAAAGGCCAAAAAAGAAAAAGAAAATAATTTATAGACCAGTCAAACTTTTCATCCCTGGAAATAAGGTAATTGGGGACATGCTGTAAACTGTTAAGTCTCACAAGCAGAAGTCTGAGACTGAAATGATTCATATGGTTGTTTATTACTTGGAGGAACAAATATTTCAATAGATTAAATTTCTGTATTAGGAAATATGAGGAAAGATTTTGATCCAAAAGCTTTTCTTTGTAAACTGTATCAAGAACAGGTAGAGACTGCAGAAGTGCATATCTATTTCTGAATCACCAAATAGGCAAATGATTTATTACTATATATTCCTCTCACAGATTTCATGTCTTTAGATTTAATTTTTTTATTGCCTATTTACATTTTTACCTGGAAATGATTTCTTCATACTCATTTTAACAATCTCTTGATCTAAAACATCATAAACAATATTCTACTCTACATAGATTTTCTAATGCAAATTATTCTAATTTAAGACAAAAAGCTTAAATCTTAAACTTGGGATGCTCAAGAGTTAGGAATTGTATGAGATGTACATCCTCCCTGAGGTGCTGAGTATGAACATATCGCTCAGTTAAAATGGGAAAAGTAAGTATTCTGCATCTCTTTGAAAGTCGAACTACCTACTTCGATTTTGACGTATGAAGGTACATTTTGCAAGTGTTCCATACTTCTAAATTGTATGAAAATACCAGACTACATACATGAGTATGTATTATGAGTATGCATAAATAAGTCTGGTAAGATGAATTACTTCTTTGCACTATGTAATCTAGAGAAAATTGAAGTGATCACTTAGTAGGAATAGCCCTTTTTAATAAATTGTTAAAATAGCTTCCAGAATAGATAATTAAGATTGTTGGAAGGATTTGCAAATGCTGTGTAAATAACCAACATATACTTACTGCTTTAATGGTAAGCTCATGTGCCAAAATTAGTAAGTTTAATGGTTCCACTGTAGCAGAGCTATGTTGTGCATCCTCTACTGTTTGCAGTGTTAGTGTGTCTGCCAGCAGAAGCATACTTTTCACAAGAGTCAAAGAAGCTGGAGGGGAAATAAAAGTATCCTCTTGGAGTAAACTGATGATGTTCTGTTTGGACATAGACAACATAAACCAAAGTAGTTACTACTTTTGCTGCCTATTTATGAGGAAAAATCGCACAAAGTAAAAATAAAATCTATTTTAGAGGCACTATTTCAAGCTTATTTAATGCTGGCATCAGCTGTTCTGACCACATGAAAAATGCATCAAAGAAAAGCAAACAGTTTTTCCTTTGTGCTCAAACCTGCAAAAGAAGTTTAATGCCTGCCACGGGATGTTTTTCTTGCAGGTCAAGAATAGCAGCTTGCACCATCATTTCAGCCTGAGTCTCAATATCACCAAAGGCTTCTGCCTCTAGTATTACTTCTTTTATCACACTTCTGCGTTCAGCCACATCGTTTTCTAAAAAAAAAAGAGAATATATGAATCATAAGAGTACAATAGAAAAGACTTTACAGTATCTTCTACCATTTCTAAGAAGTCAATTCCACATTAAAAAGTTACAGAAAAACTGACTTTATAGATTCCACATTCATCATTTCATCGATTCTGTGCCAAACTTACTGTAAAAAGAAGGAAAAACCATGTAGGTTTTTAAACTGTGCTTGCTGTAAGTAAATCCAAATGCATTCTTTATATGTAAGCCACCAGCATAAATAATTAGATTTTGCATATCTGATGTCATTCTGACTCACAAAACATATTCTACATATTCAAAATTCTGATCTTTGTTGTCATTCCAAAATAACAGCCTTCACAAGAATTATCCAGAAGAGATTAAATAAGAGTTTGGCTATGGACCTAGACTGTGATTTTTATACTTAACTGAAAGTCAGAGTTTATACTAAGTTCACAGAACTAAGGAATGAAAAACATTTCATTCATAATCAAACTGCAATAAATGTATTTTGTAGTATCTCACTTAAATTCTATTTAAAAAAAATAATCTGGAACATTTTTGGGTGATACATAGGAACATTTAATTTACTGGAGATACAAAGGGTGAGAAAAACCTTCTGAGACTTTTAAAATTATAAGTATGTAGCAACAGTGTTTCTTTAAAACAAGCATACTTATTTAACTCAATTACACTAGAACATTTGAAACTTTTTCACAGACAAGTGATTTATGAAAAGATAATGATCATTAAAGGAACTTTAATATAATGCTTTGTGTTTACATGCTCTAGGGAGAGATGGTACTCAGAAATATATTTTCCTTTTTGCATTGGATTAATTTAATACAAATAATTGCTCAGTGATAATACAGCCCCAGAATAATACAGCCCCAGAATTAATGTTAATGTTCTTTATTTATGAATAAGAATTGCATCTGAATAGGCTCACTATTATATTTCAAAAGTCTAAACCAAAAAAGGGTAATACCTTCCATATCACCAACACCATGTATCTGTGTTACTAGCGCAGTCACTAACATTGTACGACACCTTAGCCACAGATGTATGCTCATATGATCTTGTGCTGTTATACTGTGAGGCAGTCCAACATCTTCAACAGAAGAGTCCTAATAATTTCCAAAAGCAAGAGAAATGTTATTTTCTGAGTCAACTACTTGACTACAAACAAAGCAACAGGGCAGCACCAGTCTAAAATAAATGAAATTAATACAAATATATCACAAATAATAACATAATTATAACCAGAAGTTTATTTGAACGGTAGATACCTATTTTTTTAACAACAGGAGTCCACTTATTATTTAACTTTTAATCTAAAGAAAAAAAGGAATTGTAACAAACAGAAATTCAACGAGCTTTTATGGGAGAGTCCATAAATATATTGATATATTCTATGTGTCATGGAAAATAATTCTAACAGTTTGGACTTCATTCCTCTCAAACAGGAACATTACAAAAAACACTAAGGCACATAATTGTAGAGCATGATCAATATCAAGTTCTGGTACCTCACTAGGGATAACAAAGAAATTTTTAATTTTTGAGTTCTAGTTTTTAGTGTTTCTGATGGTTAGAAACAAATATTAATGTAATGTAGTACTGGAAGTGTTTGGGAGAATTCTCAGCTCAACTTCCTGTGCCGTCTTCACATATTATAAACAGTCTTTCTATTACTAAAATTGTAAAATTCTACAGTCAATACTCTAAAGATTTGTTCCAGCAAGCAATAAATGGACACTGCACCACCTGTGTTTTACTTATACATATCATCATGAATAACTCGCATTGATGCAAATGAGTCAAAAAAATAGCCATAAATCAGTTACTGGCTACAAGGCAGTCCTAAGAAAACATAAGAGCAAGTGCAGAAACACAGAAGACCTTGATATGCAACAGAGAAAAATTACAGTGCGTCCAAGAAAGTGCAGTCTTGTTATTTATGTTACAAAATCTGTCTTCACTGCTCAACTGCTCTGTCCACGTGAGTCAGTTTGACTTACCATGCGCTCAAGAGCGACTGTGTGGTGTATTACCAATAGGTTTTGTACATAGGCTTTCCAAAGTATACGTCAGCATCCTTGTGTGTCAGACAACAGAAGTCAGCTGAAATCTTGCTATATTTGGAATTATGTGAACTGGTCTGTTTGGCTCTTTGAAAGAAGATACTCTGAACTAGGTTTTCAATCAAAAAACCTAAAATACCTTAACTGTATAATACAAGATTTTCACCTCATAGCTATTTTTTCCACTCTCTGTTTTTTTTTTTAAACAAAAGGAGATTTTCAATGCTGGTATTTGAGAGTATACAAATAAAAACTGTAATTCCTAACCACAGACAGATTGAAATTATGATTATAGACATAACGAATATACTATAGGTAAGCAGGCAACTGAAACATGTCATACATCATTTTCTCCCCAGGTTATGGTAACCATGTAATACAGATGACTGTGAAAAACACGCTAGACAGTGTTCTAGTATTCTGAAAATCACTCAATACTTAATACAAGATTTCATATACTAAGAAACAATAGTTTAAAACAAATATCCACACATACCAAACACTCCCTTTCATCCTTTTCTTCTTGAAAATGCATCACTTTCACCCGAAAAATTTTTGCATCTTGGAGAAGTCGAATCGCAGATAAAGCCAAAGCAACACTGTAATATAGAACGATATTATTAAAAAGTACTAATTATATTAGCCATTTTATGCTTTTATTATAACAGATACTTCATTTCTGACTATATCAGAGATGTCTATCAGCAGTTACCAATTTTTGCTCCAGTAGAACAAGAAAATTGCCCTCAGAGTGTATTCTGAATTTGTAGGCACTGCAATATAAAGTCCTTTCAGTTCTTAAAGGGGCCTAATAAGAAAGATGAGCACAGGCTTTTTAGCAGGGCCTGTTGCAATAGGACAAGGGGTAATAGTTTTCAACTAAAAAGGGTAGATTTAGGCTCGACAGAAGGAAGAAATTTTTCCGAATGAGAGTGTTGAAACACTGGCACAGGTTGCCCAGAGAGGTGGTAGATGGCCCATCCCTGGCAACACTCCAGGTCAGGTTGGATGGGGCTCTGAGCAATGGGATCTAGTCGAAGGTGTTCCCGCTCATTGCAGGGGGGTTGGACTGGGTGACCTTTAAAGGTCCCTTCCAACCCAAACTATTCTGTGAGTCTATGATTCTATGAAAGTGAGAAAACAGCAGTAATAGAAGAAGTTTTGCCAATAACAGACATAACCTGGTAATAATGGAGAAGCCAAGATATATCATATTCTGTTGGAGCAATCGAAACAGAACTCCATTATAATTTTCAATGACACACCTGTTTTCAGAGATGGGCTTTTAGAAATTAGAAGATGTAAAAATACTGAAAATGACAAAATATATTAGGAGAGTTCTGTATCTCATCCACAAATAGAGAGGTAAGAAAACACCTTCCTCCTTAAAGCCTTTCCAGACTATATGTTAATCCTTCTATTAAATTGATACGAACAAATACCCACAGGATCTTTGTAAACACTATCAACCAAAAATTGAGCCAGATGCCACCCTGTGAAAACCTTGTAAGCAATCACATGACAATGAGTCTGCTGTCCCCCACCTCAATCATAAATCATTTTTCTGGAGTTCACTCTGAACAGCATCTAGAAAGATACAGGCACTCTTTGGACTGGTGCAGCATTCAACCCCACAGTTAAAAAAAAAAGTGAGTTGGATTCCCAAAGTATTGCCAGGTTTCTTAAAATATTAGCTACTAGGTTTTTTGTGTTTTTTTCATTTTTATGCTGTATTTTTAAAGCTTTCAGATACACTGTTCAATTTTCATGACATCTACAGAAATGGGTATCTGTAACAGGAAGCTTTGCGAATACTATTATTTTCATGATATGAAGGCACTCGCAAAACCAACATTGTGAGAAGATCTTTTTCACAACAGGATTTGTTGCCCAGAGAACATGCTACTCAAAATATTCTGAGAACTGCCAAAACCAATGTCTCATGGTATTAGTTTTCCATCCCTGTGCATTTTCCCCTACATCTGTAAATCTCTAATCTTTCCTACCTCTTCTCTAAAACATTTTTGGGGTTGGGTTTGGGGTTTTTTTTTACAATTCTACTTATTCTCTACCCCCTGAAACATACTTTCCTAATGATGCAAAAGTACCTGAGGGTATCCCTAGCTCATCTCTTAAAGATTTTTAAGCAGGTTAATTGTTAAAAATGTATAACCAAAATTCTCATGTATGCTGTCTTTTTACATAGACTCTCTTTACATAGACACTGGCTGCTATGAAGCAAAAGAAAAAAATAATTTATGAACACCTTAAGTCTTTTTTACACTGCCAGAACACTGTGAAGAGCTTTTAATGAAAGAGAGGTTCAGGCTCTGTGTCAACTTACTGTTTTTGAGAAGTTCTAGATTAACTGTTGTAAAGGAAAAGTTCTTGATCCATGCACAAAGGAGTCAGAACAAGAGCAGCAGTACTTTGAAATTACTCACATTATTCTGCCAATATGTATCTAACCACAGGATGGATAACCTCCAGAGATAAGAGGGTAATTAAAGTCTTCCTGTCATTTCTGATTCTATTCTGCTTGCTGTTTTTGTGATGCGGAACTGGATGGATTACACCAATTCAGCACAAATAGATCCCAAAGTAACAATAAGAACCAAAACAGTTAACATCTTGCCTTTCAGCTCTCAGAATTCAATCCTTATGAATCTCCCTCATCATCCCTTTACCTTGGTTTTATTCAACAAAACGAAACCAGAATAAATCAATGTTGAGTTTGATGATAACCTTCTCTCTAACAATGGAAAAGAGGAAACAGAATTTGCTTATAAAAGCAAAAGAGACAGTAAGGACAACGCAATGAAATACCCAACTGTTTTTCTTTCTTTTTAAGACAAGTTTTCTCCTGAAACCAGGCATTAAAGTTAAAATTACAGCAAAACCTGACATTTTTCAAAACATTTTTTGAGATGCTATGGCTAACATTTCTCAAATAAGTTGGAGAAAGTGCAGCACCCACAAGTATATACAGGTTTTTAAGGAATATTAACCTAACTTCCTGAGCACTACTGCCTCCAGTTAATTGCTGTTGTCAACAAGGCAAGGAAGGAGAGGCGGTGGGGTGGCTCTGTATCTTAGCGAGTGTTTTGATTGCATGGAAATCGAAGGCTGTGAAGACCAAGT